CAATTTGTAATGTAATATAGCATGTAGCTTCATTTGATGTTGGTGAAGCAGAGTCGACAAAGATGTATTCAATTACAGTTTGTCCGATTGGGAATACACCAGTAGTCTCAACCACAGCGTAAGCTGCATCAATGGTCATTGCAGCAGGGTTGATGTTTGTATAGTTTGTTGAGAACATAGCAACATAAACGTTATCCATAACGGTAATATTGTAGTTTACGGTGCCATTTGGTTTTCCCTCATCAGTAACACCAGTTACTAGTGATGGACAACTAGGAACAGGTAGTTCTTTGTCTGGAAATTGCAATTTTCATGAAAAATACAACTAATTTACAAAAATAACTATATAGCTCGTAGTTATTTACAGGCATGACTCTTAGTCAACGACTAAGACCACGCAAAAGACAAAAGCAATAACTAAAACAAAACCATTGGTATCTAAAATAATAATAATAATAATAATAATAATAATAATAATAATAATAATAATAATAGAAACATTATTCATAATTATTTCATTTAATGGAAGAGGTAGACGTAGGGCAACTTGCAATAGTCTTTTGTGTGGTATAGCCTAGTGTCTTGTACTGATCTATGAAGAGCTGCTTTCTTCGTTAATGTTTATTTTTACGTGATGATGATATACAGTTAAGGAGGTGTGAATTAATTATTCACCAACTTATATAATTGCATAGACATTATTGTTATAAGCATTTTGAAAAATCCTGCATCAGTCTAATTAAATTTATGGCTATAAATTCACAATGATATATGGCTCCAGTATGATTTAAAAACAACAAAGGTAGGCATAAGAAATAATCATAACAATAAAGAATGTATAAATGAAAAATACAAACATAGTTACAGTACCTTCAACAGTAACCGTAAAATTACACCTATCATTGAAGTTACCACTTGAATCTGATACATTGTACTGCACTGTTGTGTGACCAATCAGAAACATATTGTCACCTGAGGTGTAGTCTGACTCTGGTTCTGGTGTTTGTTTAGAGTTATCATTGGCAGTTGGTTCTGTCCATGTAACGTTAACAGCAACCGGTTGTCCGCTGGTAGTGTTAACTGTTATATCCATTGGACAATCTACAATTTCAGGCTTTTCTTCATCTTTCGGAAAAAATAAATGTGATAAAAGTTATAATAGCTTAAAATGTATGAAATGACACATTGATGCAAACACAATAACATAAGTTTTTATAAAGTGAGATGATCAGTAGCAGCAACAGACACCTTATAATCAAATGTCTTTATATCTCCAATAATATTACCTTCAATTTGTAATGTAATATAACATGTAGCTTCATTTGATGTTGGTGAAGCAGAGTCGACAAAGATGTATTCAATTACAGTTTGTCCGATTGGGAATACACCAGTAGTCTCAACCACAGCGTAAGCTGCATCAATGGTCATTGCAGCAGGGTTGATGTTTGTATAGTTTGTTGAGAACATAGCAACCTGAACGTTATCCATAACGGTAATATTGTAGTTTACGGTGCCATTTGGTTTTCCCTCATCAGTAACACCAGTTACTAGTGATGGACAACTAGGAACGGGTAGTTCTTTGTCTGGAAATTAGAATTTTCATGAAAAATACAACTAATTTACAAAAATAACTATATAGCTCGTAGTTATTTACAAGCATGTCTCTTAGTCAACGACTAAGAGCACGCAACAAACAAAAGCTATAACTAAAACAAAAACATTAGTATCTATAATAATAATAATAATACTAATAGAAACATTATTTATAATTATTTAATTTAATGGAAGAGGTAGACGTAGGGCAGTTTGCAATAGTCTTTTGTGTGGTTTAGCCTAGTGTCTTGTACTGATCTTTGAAGAGCTGCTTACTTCACTATTTTTTTTACATGATGATGATATACATTTAAGGAGTTGTTAAAAAATTAATCACCAAATTATGTAATTGCCTAAACATTATTGTTATAAGCATTTTGAAAAATCTTGCATCAGTCTAATTAAATTTATGGCTATAAATTCACTATGATTTATGGCTCCAGTATGATTTAAAATAAAAAAAAGGTAGGCATAAGAAATAATCATAACAATAAAGAATGTATAGCTATAATGAAAAATACAAACATAGTTACAGTACCTTCAACAGTAACCGTAAAATTACACCTATCATTGAAGTTACCACTTGAATCTGATACATTGTACTGCACTGTTGTGTGACCAACCAGAAAAATATTGTCACCTGATGTGTAGTCTGACTCTGGTTCTGGTGTTTGTTTAGAGTTGTCAGTAGCAATCGGTTCTGTCCATGTAACGTTAACAGCAACCGGTTGTCCGCTGGTAGTGTTAACTGTTATATCCATTGGACAATCTACAAATTCGGGCTTTTCTTCATCTTTCGGAAAAAATAAAATAATGTTATCAAATTTATAATAGATTAAAAAGGTATAAAATGACACATTGATGCAAACACAATAACATAAGTTTGTATAAAAAGATGATCAGTAGCAGCAACAGACACCTTATAATCAAAAGTCTTTATATCTCCAATAATATTACCTTCAATTTGTAATGTAATATAACATGTAGCTTCATTTGATGTTGGTGAAGCAGAGTCGACAAAGATGTATTCAATTACAGTTTGTCCGATTGGGAATACACCAGTAGTCTCAACCACAGAGTAAGCTGCATCAATGGTCATTGCAGCAGGGTTGATGTTTGTATAGTTTGTTGTAAACATAGCAACCTGAACGTTATCCATTACGGTAATGTTGTAGTTTACGGTGCCATTTGGTTTTCCCTCATCAGTAACACCATTTACTAGTGATGGACAACTAGGAACGGGTAGTTCTTTGTCTGGAAATTGGAATTTTCATGAAAAATACAACTAATTTACAACAATAACTATATAGCTCGTAGTTATTTACAAGCATGTCTCTTAGTCAACGACTAAGAGCACGCGCCAAAGACAAAAGCTATAACTAAAACAAAAACATTAGTATCTATAATAATAATAATAATAATAATAATAATAATACTAATAGAAACATTATTTATAATTATTTAATTTAATAGAAGAGGTAGACGTAGGGCAATTGCAATAGTCTTTTGTGTGGTTTAGCCTAGTGTCTTGTACTGATCTTTGAAGAGCTGCTTACTTCACTATTTTTTTTACATGATGATGATATACATTTAAGGAGTTGTTAAAAAATTAATCACCAAATTATGTAATTGCCTAAACATTATTGTTATAAGAATTTTGAAAAATCTTGCATCAGTCTAATCAAATTTATGGCTATAAATTCACTATGATATATGGCTCCAGTATGATTTAAAAACAAAAAAGGTAGGCATAAGAAATAATCATAACAATAAAGAATGTATAGCTATAATGAAAAATA